GCTCTCTGCACACGGAGGGGGCCTCTGCCCCCTCCCCAAGTCCCCAGAGGAGAGCGGGGGAGTGAAGGGTGAGGCCGAGCAGGACAGGGTCGCCTGTAAATACCCAGAGGGGTGCCAGGAGGGAGGCGGAGTCCATGTGGGTTAGGATCCCTGGGAGTTTCGTAACCCTGACCCAGGGATGCACAGGTGAAGGCCGCCCTTGGGGAGGTGCCTGAGGACAGCACTCTCAGGGCCTGCCCACGGCCACGGCCAGCCCACAGGCTCAGGCGAGGTCTCTGGAACTGCTGTCCTGGCTGCAGACCTGCTGCCGCAACCCTCCAGCAATGCCCAAAATGACCCATGGAGGGGCGGAACCTGATGCCCAGACACGCTCCAACAGCCACTGTCAAACCCAGTCCCACCTGCGCTGCAGAGGGGCTGTGAGGGGCAAACGGGGCCAGACCGGGAGCAGCCCTGCAGGCTCAGGGGGGGCTGGCTCGGGCCACTGCTCAGAAGGCCAGGGGCCAGCCCTGGGGGCGCCGCACTTGGCCTGGGCTGCTGCTCACTGGCGGGCACCTCCTCGCCCAGCGGGACACCAGTGTGGGCGGGCCTGTGGCTGTGCGGCCTATCATCTCTTAGCCAGGCCCTCACCCCACTGCCCAGGAAGCCCCGGCCACCTCCCCAATCAGGCTGTGTCCACGTGCCCTGTGTGGAAGGGGGCCGCGTGGTCACCGGGCAGCCCAGGGCACTCAGGTTGATGACAGCCATGGTGGCTGTGACCTGAGCTCCTGACCAGACCCTCTGTCCCGGGAATCCCGCCCTGCGAACGGACACATGCCCACCCCTCCCAGGAGAGGCCCAGCCCAGTGCCAGCTCTCATGTCACGTCCTGGAAAGAGATCCGCACCCCATCTGGAGGGCCGCGGGGAGCTGCTTGGAAACGTCCCATGGGGAGCCGCCTGGGCCACTCGGGTGGGAACACTGGGGCTTTTGATTCCGGGGGGGCTGGCTGGCTGCACCAGGTGGGACCACCCCCTCCAGCTGTGGGGTGTGACAAGGGCAGACACGGAGCTAACACTCAGCAGGTGGATGGGCACAGAACGCCAGGGCAGGGGGAGCGGAGGGCGTGAGTGCCAGGCCACCCAGCGCACGCTCTGCCCTCTCGGGAGCCCCACAGGGGCACGTGCTCTCCCCTACCCGTCCAGGTCCCCGAGTAACTAGTCTCTGATCCCATTCCCATGTCCCTCCGGAGGCCCTGCACCACCCCCTTGGCCTGTCCTCATGGTCCTCACAGCCACCCTGGGCCTTCACCGCCTTGCGGGCACACACATGTCTCAGGGAAGGGCGGGGCCATGCCCACAACGAGAACAGGGACAGGAGGGCGCTGGTGCAAAAGGCCAGTCAGGAGTGGGGAGCTGAGGGACAGGGGCTGCGCCCTGCTCAGCCACCCCTCCCCGCTGCCTCCCTCACGCCATCTCCTCCAACCCCAGCCCTCTGCTAATACACTTCATGCAGGCCCAAGGGGACCCCAGGCAGAGGGGACGACGTGCCCTACCTGCACCCTCCAGCCCCTGCCGGGAAAGGGCAGGCCTTGAGCCCCGGGGCCCAGGCTCCATCTTCCCACACGTCTTTCTGACTGGCCACCCCCACCCCGGGCCGCGCTCGGAGACCTGACAAAACCCTCTCGGCCCATTTCTCAAAAAACTCCCTAGAAGATGAGCATGCTCACGAGACCCAGAGCCTCTGCTCCCACTACCGCAGGCCACCCGGCCCCGCTCTCCTCGGGGCCCTCTTGCAGCGGCTGATCACAGCGTCCAGCCCTGGGCCTCGCTCTCCGCCAGCCACACAAAGTCGGAGTGACCTGCGTCAGTCCTGGGCAGTGTCTCCTCCCCACACCCTGTTCCTGGGGCTGACAGACACCACGCCCAGGCCCCTGCCACCATGGCCTCTCCCCCTCCACGTGACTCACCCTCATGTCAGCAGGTCCCCACTCAGCGAGGCCCTCTGCCCCACACAGAGCAGTGGCCCCCAGGCTGCACCCTGTACCCCTCACCCGTGACCCACACGGGACATGACGTGGGTCTAAGCCGGCACCTCCGTGCCCACCGGCAGCTGCTGCGTGCTCGTGGGGCAGGGGCGGAGGAGCAGCAGTCAGAGCTGGGCGTGGAGCGAGGGAGCCTGGCGTGTGGCCCCGCGGGGTTGCCTGGTCTCTGCACAGGCCGGTGGGCCTGGCCGGCCTCCTTCCCTCACATGCCCTCAGCACGTGGAAGCAGCTCAGCAGATACTGACTGGACGGTGACTGAGGAGCTGGGATGGGGGACGGGACCCAAGCAGCTAGAGGCAGACAGAGGAAGAGCAGAGGCCAGCACCCGGGTGAGGCAGGATGCGGCTACAGCCCCCCCACCCTCCCTAGCCAGGGTGAGCAGCGGCACCCCTTCTCCACGAGGCCTGAGAACCTCCAGCACCGTCCCTGGTAGCTTGGGGGCCCTACCAGGCTGCTCTGGGTGGGGCGGGCCCAGCTCCACATGCAGCACTGAAGAGCGTGGGGAATGGTGACCGGACCCCAGCCCAGAATCTGGGTAAACTGTCCAGGGGCACAGGGCCCACAGAGGCCACCACCACTCCTGAAAATGAGGCCCAGCCCACGTCAGGGACGTGGCCACTCCACTCCCTCTCAACCCAAGGCAATGAGAAGGCTCTAGGTGGCCACACAGGCTGACCCCATTGAGAGGTGTTCACAGCTGAGGGTCCAGGCTGCCCAGCATGGGTAGGCCCAGGGTCCATACCCCCAGAAGCTGCTGGCAACCCTCAAAGGCCAGGGGTCCTGTGGTCTGTGTCAGGCCTCCCACCCTTGGAAAGTAGGACTCCAGAGCCCAGGCCTGTAGCCCCCCCCACAGCGGGGGGAGGGCCCCCCGGCCCAGCCAGTCACACCAACACAGGCCCCAGGGCCCCATGGTCCCTAGGCCAGGTGGGCACCAGCAGGTGGGCAGCGTCTCGAGCCAGTGGGCTTCCCTGCGGCAGGGCGGACACGGGACCCGACGCTGTGGGTCTGGTGGCCACACCACAGCTTCAGCAGCGACCCCCACCGGCCTCTCAGGACCAGGGGGCTTGTCCAGGTCTCCCTGAGCCCCAGTCCTGAGCACGTTACAAAAACCCTCATTGGTCTCAGTCCTGCAGCCTGCTGCCATGGGGGTCTCGGCTCAGAGGGCCGGGGCTCTCCCTGGGCCCCACAGCTGCACTCACCCCAAAATAGACCAGCATCTCCCCCACGCAGACGCGTCCCCGTTTCAGATCCCTGGTGTGGCTGGCAGCCTCACGTGAACACCCGTGGGGCAGAGCAGGCGGGGTTTCCCTCACAACCCAGGCCCCCTCTGGGGATGAGGTGTGCAGAGTGGAGCATGGAAACCTGTCACCCATGCCAGGAGACACGGGGACACAGAGAGGTGTGGGCAAGGCCGTGGGGGCAGGAGAGCCAGCAGAGACAGAGAGACACAGGGACACAGAGGCGAGGGCAAGGTTGTGGGGGCAAGAGAGCCAGTGGAGACAGAGACGCGGGGGAGGGCAGGGAGATGTAGTTAGAGGCAGGAAGACAGAGACCAGGAGGAGATCTCCTCTCGGGGGAAAGGGGAGAAGGGGGGACCAGAAGGAGGGGAGGAGAACCAAGGAAGAACAGGAGAGGCCGCGGCGGGGACACAGGGAAGAGGGTGGCAAGGCAGGGTCTCAGGGCCCTTGGGGCCGTCTTGGTGGGGCAGGGAGTGAACTCCCGGGGAGGGGGCAGTCCAGACTCTGCACACAAACCCCTGCTCGCCCCTACTGCTCAGAAACAGCCCCAGACAGTGCCCAGGAGGCAGGTCCTGCAAGGCCCAGCTCCACCCTGTACCTCTTCTCCCTCCCCTCCCCCTTCCCTTCCCCTCCAGGATCTTTTAATCAGTGAAAGCTCCTGTCCCTCCAGGGTGTCTGCCTCAAGAGACATCCTGAAAAACAAGACCTGTCCCCAGGGGCTGGGGGCTGGAGTGAGAGATGGTGGCAGCTGTGGTGACTCCTGGGCCCCTCAGCAGAGCCCACGGGTGGGAGCACGTGGGCAGCAGGCCGAGGGGCCAGTCTCCACTCCCTCCCACACCCTGTGCCCCAGCTCACAGTGGCAGGTCTTGGGGCCGTGCCCACCTGAAGGCAAAGACACTGTTCTAAGGAGGTGCTGGGTACCGCGCAGCTCTGGGCCTGCCTTCTGCGGGACCCCTGCCTGTGCCCAGTCCTGACCACACTGTCCTCACCTTGCAGGGTCAGATTGCACACTGCCCTCCAGCAGGCAGGGAACCAGGTACCTTGGACAGGGACAGGTGACGGCCAGGCGGGGAACTGGTGCCCAGACGGGGCTCACTCTGAGGGTCTGCTCGTGAGCAGAGGCCACCTGAATAGCCCTAGCCCCCCTCACAGGGAGTCCCATGTCTCCCACTCCCTCTACCCACCCTCACAGGCAGCGTGGGGTGTTCATGGAGCCCCCACCATGGAAGGATTATTTTCACGACCGCAACCCCTACCCCTCCTACCCGGGCTCCAAGCCTCCCCAGGGAAGAAGATTGCAGTCCTGGCCAAAACAGAGCCTCAGGGACTCAGTCTCGCACACAGGTGCTCACGGAGCAGACTCCCGGGCAACCCTCACCCGCCCCAGGGCCACCCAGCCTTCTGCCTGCTGACCCCAGGGACCAGCTGGGCCTGAGGGCGGGGCTGGGCCCACACTCCGGTCCTGATCTGCAGGTGGTTTTGGGAATCACAAGGTGAGGATTATCAGGACCCCCTTGAGGAGAAACAGTGGAGGGACACAGATTAACCCACCTGGGGCTAGAAACCACACACACCACACACAGTCCATCCGCAGCAGAAACGAACCCGAACCCGGCGCCTCCCAGACCACAGTCTCCCCGAGGCAGACCCCTACCCACCTGCTGGCCCGGACTGCTGCTCAGCCTGGCCCCGCGGGGGCCCCCGACACCTGCTGCTCTTGGGCAGGGCCCGCCCACCTACCCCGTGAGGACCACCACGAAGTCCATGACGTTCCAGCCATTGCGCAGATAGGAGCCCCTGTGGAGTGCGAAGCCCAGGGCGACGATCTTCATCCCCGCCTCGAAGCAGAAAATCCCAATGAAGTAGGGCTCTGTGTCGTCCTGCAGGGGAGCACAGTCGGTCACCGCTGCCCTCGGCCAGGGCTGGCTGGACTGGCCTCCCGTTGCGAAGCCTGCTGGGGCCCGGCTGCAGGGTCCCGACACTGGCAGCCCTGGAGGATGGCCGC